TAGATGAGATTGAGAGTGAGCAACAGGCCTGACTAATTTTAGGTTACAATTATGAGTTCCAATCTCATTCACTTCCTTCTCTCCTGATTGTTAAGCCTATCTCTGGAGTCTGAATGCCATTAAACCCTTCTCAATGTCTCCCTTAACAACTCATCGACTCAGCCTCCCTTTAGAGATCTTCCTTCTTTACCAACTGCCAAGCGACTTAACCTCCCTTTAAAGTCTAAATGCCATTGAACCCTCCTCAGCATCTCTCTGAAGACCTTCCTTCTCTATCGACTGCCAAGCTAATCAGCGTCTCCCTTAGCAACTCATCGACTATTTAACTCAGCCTTCCTTTGAAGACCTTCCTTCTCTACTGAATGCCAAGCGACTCAACCTCCCTTTGAAGTCTAAAACTCTCCCCTTAAGGCCATTAAACCTTTTTTAGCATCCCCCTCAGTGACTCATCAACTCAGCCTCCCTTTGAAGTATGAAACTTTCTCTCTTCAGTGCCATTGAACCCTCCTTAGTATCTCCATCCTCAGCGACTTAGCCTCCCTTTAAAATCTATAATACTCCCTCTTTAGTGTCTTCAGTTCCTCTTTTCCCTAATTGGAACATCCCATAGTCATCAGAATGATCAATATCATTCTTCTAACATTCTTCTTGCCCTGCCTCAAGATCATTATTGTCTTCCTGATCTACATATTCCTTCTTTAGTATGCCACTAATCATCGCTTATAGGCTGAGTTGCCGTCCAGGCTAGCACTAGAGAATGGCTTGGTAGCGTCGAAGCTAGAGAAGTTGCCTAAGGTCATCGAGAAGGAACTGGTGACAGGGAGTGAATGCGCGGTGTGTCTAGATGAGATCGAGAGTGAGCAACAAGCCAAACTAGTTTCAAGTTGCAATTATGGGTTTCAATCTCATTCAATTCCTTCTCTACTAACTGCTAAGTGACTTGGCCTTCCTCTGAAGTCTAAACATCATTAAACCCTCCTTAGCATCTCCTTTAGTGACTTATCGATTTAGCCTCCCTCTAAAAACCTTTATTTTCTATCGACTTCCAAGCAACTTAGCCTCCCTTTGAAGCTTAAACACCATTGAACCCTCTTCAACATCTCCCTTAGCAACTCATCGACTGAGCCTCCATTAAAGACCTTCCTTTTCTATCAACTACCAAGCAACTCAGCCTCCCTTTAAAGCCTGAGTGCTATTAAACCCTCTTCAGCGTCTCCCTCAGTAACTCATCAACTGAGCCTCCATTTAAACACCTTCCTTCTCTACTGACTATCAAGTGACTTAGCCTTCCTCTAAAGTCAGAACACAATTAAACCCTCCTCAACATCTCTTTTAGCAACTCATAGACTCAGCCTCTCTCTAAAGACCTTCCTTGTCCGCTGACTGTCAAGCAACTCAGCCTCTCTCTAAAGTCTGAACGCCATTGAACCCTCCTCAGCGTGTCCCTCAATGACTCATTAACTCAGCTTCCCTCTGAAGACCTTCCTTCTCTACCGATTGCCAAGCAACTCAACCTCCCTTTAAAGTCTAAACACCATTAAACCCTCCTTAATGTCTCCCTCAACGACTCAACCTCTCTAAAGTATGAAACTCTCCCTCTTTAATGCCATTGAAACCTCCTCGGTGTCTTTATCTTTAGTGACTTAGCCTTCCTTTAAATTTTGTAACACTCCCTCCTCAATGCCTTCAGTTTCTTTCTACCCCAGTCAAAACATCCTACAGTTGCTAGAATGATAGATACCATTCTCCTAGCACTCTTCTTGCCCTACATTAGGATCATTGTCATCTTTGTGATCTACATGTTTAGGTTGTTGTCTAGGCCCGTACTAGAGAATGGCTTGTCGGCATCAAAGCTAGGGAAGTTGCCTAAGGTCATCAAGAAGGAACTGGTGGCAAAGAGCGAAAGTACGATTTATCTAGATGAGATTGAGAGCAAGCAATAAGCCCAACTGGTTCCAAGTTGCAATCGTGGGTTCCATGTGGAATGCACTGATGTCTGGCTTTTCAAGCACCCTCTATGCTCAGTTTGTAAAGCCAAGGTGGACCCTCAGCTTCTCAATTCCTGTGAAAATCTCAATTAATTATCTGCTGTCGGTCGTCGCCGTTGGGGGAAAGGGTTTAGAGTCCAGGATTGTCTGAATCATTTATAATTTAATAGCAAGAAATGAAATGCAGTATAATGATGTTTTGCTGTTAGGATTAAGATTTAGAATTTAGGATTCTGAATATAATAGAATATAACAGTAGAGGAAATGGAATGTAATGGAAGGATAATTACTGGATGTTTTTTTGATTTGATATTAGTGATGTTAAGGGTAGATACTTTTTTTATATTTATTTTGATGATTATAAAAGTGAGACAACACTGTAATACCCATCTAAAAAAATTTAAGAAAAATATAATATCTAGAATAAAGTCCTGAAATATTCTTCCCTTCCAAAATTTCTTCTCACCCAACATGATCAACTCCAAAATTAAAAAAAAAATCCAATTTAAAAGTACCAAAAAAATCCATATTTTGAGGGGAACGAACTCAGCCTCCTTTTGAAGTCTGAATGCTATTGAACCCTCCTTAGTGTCTCTCTCAACGACTCAACCTCCCTTTAAAGTATGAAACTCTCCCTCTTTAACACCATTGAACCCTCCTCAGCGTCTCCATCCTTAATGACTTAACCTCCCTCTAAATTTTGTGACACTCCCTCCTCAGTACCTTCAGTTCCTCTCTACCCTAGTCGAAACATCCCACAATTGCCAAAATGATGGATACCATTCTCCTAGCACTCTTCTTGCCCTACATTAGGATCATTGTTGTCTTCGTGATCTACATGTTCCTTCATTGATATGTCACCAATCATCACTCATAGGTCGAGCTATTGTCTAGGCTCGCACTAGAGAATGGCTTGTCAGCATCGAAGCTAGAGAAGTTGCCTAAGGTCATTGAGAGGGAATTGGCGACAGGGAGCGAAAGTGCGGTGTGTTTAGATAAGATCGAGAGCTAGTAACAAGCCCAACTAGTTCTAGGTTGCAATCATGGGTTCTATGTGGAATGCTCCTATGCCTGGCTTTCCAACCACCCTTTGTGCGCAGTTTGTAAAGCGAAGGTGGACCCTTAGCTTCTCAATTCCTATGAAAATCTTGATTAATTATTTGCTGCCGGTCATAGCCGTTGGGGGAAAGGGTTTAGAGTTCAGGATTGTCTGAACCATTTATAATTTAATGGCAAGTAATGAAATGCAATATAACGATGTTTTGCTGTTAGGATTAGGATTTAGAATTTAGGATTATGAATATAATAGAATATAACAGTAGAGGAAATGGAATGCAATGGAAGGATAATTACTAGATGTTTGTTTGATTTGATATTAGTGATGTTAAGGGTAGATACTTTTTTTATATTTATTTTGATGATTATAAAAGTGAGAAAACACTGTAATGCCCATCTAAAAAAAATTTAAGAAAAATATAATATCTAGAACAAAGTCCTGCAATATTCTTCCCTTCCAAAATTTCTTCTCACACAACATGATCAACTCCAAAATTAAAAAAAAAAATCCAATTCAAAAGTACCAAAAAAATCCATATTTTGAGGGGAACGAACTCATTACAAGCAGGAAACAAGATTATATTTTATATATATATATATATATATATATATATATATATTATGGAAGAGACCACATCAGGAGCCAATTCCTGAAATCACAATGAAGGAGGGGAAGACATTCAGGATGAATGTAGGGATTATAAAATTTTTTCCTGGAGAATTGTATACAAGTCATATTCAACCTAATTAATTACTTTGAAAGATTTATTGTTGAGTTTGAAAGAGAAAGACTTTACAATAATTCGTTATATTTCTTTACTTTCTTACAAGTATTTTTTTTATTATAGATAATTCTGTTATGTTTAAGGTATTGTTGGGTACAAAATGTAAACACTACTCCCTTCAATTAAACCTAGCTTCCATAGATTTTAAGATTGTAACATTTATGTGCCAATTACGAGTGTAGTTGCGGATTAAATTGGAGCCCTTAAAAAAACAGGTTCAAGTTAGGGCTGCTTGTTGAAGCTAAAGAAAAAGTATAAGCCATTTGTTCTAATTTATGAGATATTTTTAGGAGAGATTTGATGTCCTAAGATGTAAGACATTTGGCAAAAAAAAAAGTTTTATTAATAATACATTTTTAACATTACCATTTCTATTATATTCTCTATCTTTAATATTTTTTATAAATAATATATTAAATGAAGAGTATTTTTGAAAGTTTATATTTTTATTTTAAAAAAAATAAAATTATAAATTATATTTAATAAATTATTATTATATGAATTTTTTAAAAAAACATTATACAGATTGAAAAGAAAGGAATAAAAAAATACTACTTTCGTTAATAAAAAAACTAAAATTCTCCCCCGTGCATCACGGGAAAGGTTACACCATATGTAGAGAGTTATTTTAATTTGGGAAATATTAATCTTTTGCATTTTAAAAGAAAAACTAATTAAATTTATTGCAAAGTTTCAATCAAAACAATTTGCAATAGATTAAATTAGTTAAAAGTTGTCGGATGGATTCATGTGTTTAAGATCTATTTGTGAATTTGTTTAACAATTTTATCTTCTATATGTGTGATTTAAAAGAGTCTGTTTTAAACTACTTGATATTTTGTTTTATCAGAATTTTGAGCTGATAAAACATTGAACATAGTAATTTAGTGTGCTAAAAGTAATGGATATGATCTACACTTAAGCACATTAATCTATGACATAGTATATCAAGAAAGTCAAGCTCTGATGTCAAGACATTTTGCCAAGAAAATGGAAGCAATGTGAAGGAAACTTGGACAAGGTTAATGATTTCATATTAAATATCTTTATCCCAATTCTCATCATCAGGTTGCTAAGAATTTTTCAACATGTTGAACGTGCTCCTGCTTCAAATACATAGCTACAAAAGGAATCAAGATAAGGTTAAAAATAACAATAGAACCTAGTAAAATATTGATTTCATAAATAAGAAAGATATCAAAATTTAATTCCTGGACATGATGCAATTCCAAAAATCTGATGATATTATGAGAGACAATTCATAAATTGCCATCATCTTTATCATCAATCGAAAAAACCATAATTCCTTTTTTAGTCATTCAAGCATGTAAATTACTCTCCTCTTCCATACACTATACCACTTGCATCTAGTGGAGCACACCCTGCGGTTTCCTTTGATATCAACTGGAAAATCAATGTTTTAAATTAGATACCTTAGTTATCCAACAAACAATCTTCCTATGCATATCTCAGAAGATTTGCATTCTTTCAAGAATATTAAGCTGCCTCATAGGCTAATTCGATCATCTGTGTCATGTATCTTAAAAAAAAAAAAAAAAGGCTCAAACTTAATCTTCAAGGCTAGTCTCTATATTCAATTCAAGTAGTTCCAAAGCTTGCACGACTGTAGTTAACTCATCAACATCACCAAATAAATCTTGAGCTTCTTACAATGTAGAAGAACGTCCTCGAACTCCCGGGCTGACTATGCCTCTCTCCAACTTCTTTCGCCTATAAAATATAGAATAACAAATAGCTACGGGAATTTTCTAATAATCCATCTATGATTACAAATAAATAAAATTGACATCGAAACTACTTTATTGGATCCCTATGTTCATCATCTTCCTCCTCATCCGTATTCAAGATAATGACACAAAAAATAATAAGTTTTGAAGAAACTAAATTTTCTGTGTTAACCTAAGAGTTTCTTAACAGAATCAATGATAATGTTTTTATTATTTTAACTGGTAAAAGAATGGATTTCTTATTCTTTAATATTGAAGAGAAGAAATCAAGGTAGCATAAAATAAAGAACCATCTAGTAAAATTATCCACAAGGATGAAATCCCAATCTATTTTCATGTCTGATAGAATAATTCCCTCTCAAAGCACGTAATATCATATGAAACATCAGGTTTATAGTTTGAAGAATAAAAATAAGAAACAGAAATATGCATTAGAAATATTCATTTGGACTCTTATCTTTAAAACCTTGTAGTAAAGACAAAGCATGTGTTCGCATAAAAGAGAAAAGCAATCAATATTGATTGTACAATAATTTTCAAAGATTAAGAGTTTAGTCTATACTAATTGAATTTTGATCATTGTCCTTCAATCAAGAAATAACCCCAGTAATGTTCTTTGTTTGTGATGCTGGTAAAAAAAAATGTTCTTTGTTAATTTATTCCTTTTGGTAGAGCTTTTTTTTAGCTTTGGTACTTCATGAAAGATTTCATTTCCAATTACATCTGCAAACAAAAAATGAATTTATAAGAAAAGAGAACAAAGAACCGGAGGAAAAAGAATATATAACTAAAGCAATTGAAGCAGCAATGACCAAAAAGAAACTAAATTCTTGCAATCTACCTCATGACTGAGATTCCTAAGCTGTCCTACTTGTCTCCACATTTTCCATTATTACAAGCTTATTTCATTGCTATATAATGGCAAACCAAATCAACTATCAATAATCAATCCAAGCATGACATCACAGTAATACTCACGTGGATATGTCAAGGGCCTTTTATATACCAATCTCTTCCAATCTGATTTCAAACCCAAAAAAACACCTGCACTATATTCAATAAAACAGAATAAAGTGAAGAGGGGCGCAATATAATGAAAATGTGCTAAGCAAAACCATATGAAGGAACCTATGTTCATGGAATCTTTGTTTGGCATTATGAAATGAAATGACAGCTTGACAAAATCAAGGGACCAACATGTTTAGCACATCTTTTGAGTATCATCAGATAAAGGAAGTTCACATTGCTTTTCACTGTTGGTGGTGGGCTTAACCAATAGAAGAATTAGAAAACATAAAATCCAAGACAAAATTGACTGAATCCTCCATCTCTCGTTCCTCTTTAGGTCCAAGACTCTCTGGAAGACAAACAAACATTAAGAGAATGTCTTCAGTATATTTCCAATGGGGACAATTGCATCTTAGACAATGGGATATTCTTCCAATATTTTGAAGGGGACATTATTCCAAGTGTTGTTGCACCAATCCATTCAAATAACTTGCCCACAAACTTGACTGCAAATTCAATTTTATGTTCCTATAAATCTAATTGCGTTACAATATTGGGCAAAGCTTTGCAATAAAACATACTGCCAATAATTTTTTGAAATGGGAGAAAAGAGAGGCTATTCGGAGGTGTGGATTTGAAATGAGAAGAACTGTGATATGCTTAGAGTAATAGAGGCAAGTGATAGAAAGTTAAATAGATGAAAGTTGGTGGTTTATAAATAGTCAAATATGTTCTAGCATAAAAATCGTTTTTCAACAAAACATAGAAAGTGACCTGCCAAGATTTTTTATAAGAACCTTTCAACTGAAAAATATGAAAGATCAAGTAGCAAATTGAATCATAAGTAATGAAAAGTTTTGTTATAGCAGTATAGCAAGCTTCAGAAACACATATACTCCTCTCATTTTGTCATACATGATAGACCAATCTTTTAGTCACAGTAATACTAATAACTTATATGATAACCCACGATTGCAATCAAAAATGGAAAAAAAAAAAAAACAAAGAAAACAAAAAGACCTGTTCAACATTTTGTTGAGCACAAAAGTTCAAGTAAAGATACATAAACTTCTTCAAACTATATATAGAGACATCATTGATCAAGAGTATCGACATACCTAGTAAAATTGCAAGGAAATTACAAGCAGAAGGAACTTACAGAGATTCTTTCTCTACTATTCCATATTCATTGATACCTGCTAATAAAGCTATCAAATTTACCCAATTTTTGATTTGATACTCAAATTAAGGGGAGGAAAATAAGTAGCAATGCAGGAAAAAATCATAAAGGGAAAAATAAGTTGAATTAATAATAATGGCTCTAAAACATGAGGAATTGGAAAAATGGCAATGAGAAAACCTTAATTACCTTGGAATTTATTACTTTAACCTAAATTTTCATCACACTTCTTATGCTGGGTGTAATTCCAACATTTGTGGCAGTTCTCTGTTGAGTTGACACCCAAGTCCATGCCTCTCTAAAATGTGGAAAAAATTTTATAAGTTAAATAAAAAGAGAGCAAAGACCAACATTCATATGGAAAATAACAATAAAACAGTATGAAAAAGAGCAAAGAACAAAACACTCATGACCCAGCTCAATTTTTACCCCATATCAGTGATATCTTGTAAAAGTTGATGGCTTCTACATTTCTTTGTGACAGATGAAGCTTGCCCATGTGATTGTTCTAAAAAAATCTAATCGAATTTGGCCCTTTTATATAGCTTGCATGAATTTTCTAAATAAAGAGACAATAAAATTAATTAATGGAGATAACGGATGTACAAATACATTATTTTAAACATAGATGAAGACTGATCCCAAACCTGATGGTGAATAAGTCTGCAGAGGCAATAAAGTCTATCCAGTATCCATTAATGTTTATTCTCTTATGGTCGAAAACACCAAAATTTTCAGGTGGAAGAATATATAGAATGGTGTGTGGTGGAACGGGGGTAATAACATAGGCATAATTATATACCACAGAAAGTGCAACTCACCTACACGGAGAGCTTTGGCTCTGCTTCTCGATAAAACAACAACAATTTCCTTCACTGAGAGGGGTGTGAGAGACTCCACCACCTAAGCCAGATAAGAGTAGGGAAAGAAAGGGAAAAGGAGAGCTTGTGAGAAAATGAAAAGAAGAAACATGGACAGCACAAAGTTGGATGACATAGAAGACGTAGCTAAAGACATAGATTATGTACTTAGTACTACGTACATGATACTATGTACTTAGCAGTCGTTATTATGCCTTTTAGTCCCCTTATAATGTTAATAACCTCTCTCTCGAGTATGCATTAACTAATACTTAAGTCAGTGAAAATCCGACTTTAATAAGGAAAGGATTCAGAATCAACTCGTTGGAAAATGATCAATTTGAAGCAAAATATTCAAATTCAGTTTACTCATTCACACACAACCACCCCAACTCATAATATTTTCCCCACAAATACCAGATTCTCTGTCAGCGTTCAGATTTCAGAATATGGAAGCTTCATTATTCCTCTCACTCTCACTAAAACCCTCTCCACCGTCCATTTTCTAATCAACGTTCTCCATCACACTTGTGTCTTCCTCGCACAATACCCTGACCCTATAATCCTCCATACTATACATCTATATATACAAGTCTTTACAAATCAAGTCTGGTTTGGACACACAGAATTACACACACACACACACACACAGAGCGAGCTATGGCTTCCCCTCCGATGAATTCTATACCCATGGCGTATCAGGCAGGGACGAGTCTCGCCTTAACCGGACCGACTGAACAAAGGGGACAACGCGTGGTAGATGATCTCAGCGACTCTGGTAGGTATTCAAAGCATGACAGGGCTTGTGATTCTGTACGGAAGCATAGTGAAGAAGAAGTGGGCCGCATTACTCTTGTAGCTATTCATATTAGGCCAAAAGTTTCTGATCCATCAAGCAGTGCTGCCGGCGACGCCGCATTTTTGCAAGAACAGGCACCTGGAGACACCGAAGATAGAACCGTTCCACCCCACAGCGACAATGGTGTGGTTTCAGTACGTGTTCGCCGCCGTCGCGGTGGTTCTGCTAGACGGATCGGTGCTAGCGAGGATGAACTTCAAGGCACGGAGGATGTTCATGCCTTTGTGGCTAATGTTCTCCTAGATCATCGAAGCGTTTAGCTTGTGGCCACTAGTATGTTGTGAAACTCTCGACTTCACGAGTTTAATATTTTTACACTTTAAACTTATAAAATTAAATTAATTTACTTATAAATTTAAATTAAATTTAAATAAACTTATAAATTTATATTTGAGTTTATCATTTTTTATATTTTTAATATATAAAATCATGTCAATTAATTTATAAATTCAAATTGAATGTAAATTTAGTTACACTTGTTAAACATATTAATTTTTTTTTAATTGAGTGAGTTAACTCTAAAGAATTCAGTGTATGTAGTTTAAAAGAAAAAAAAACTTAAAATACAAAAATTAATATTTATAAAAAAATAAAATATTAAAAAAAAGTTCTTTTATTTTAAAATTTTTACATCTGTGATAATTTATCAATATAAATAAATTTAATTTTAATTATTTATATTTTTAATATATTTAAATTAAATTATAATTATATTTTAATAATTATTTATTAATAGAAATAAATTGTTTTGAGTTTATAATTTGAGTTTATATATCTGTCACGAATTTACTTAATCTCACAGATTTAATAACATTGGGCAATAGGTTCTTGAAGACGGCGGTCACTTGGAGAGGAAGAAAAAGTCGGCGTGCAAGCAAAGGAAAACAGGATCATCTCATGCAATCAGGGGTCTAACAGGAGGGAAATGTCGGTAATTTACTGTGCTATCCAGGTTCAAGGCAAAAGTACCAGGAAAAAAGCTAGGGACATTTTCGGTAATTAACTATTAATGCTTTGTTCATCAATACATCCCAAATTTATACAGGTATAGATATAGATTGATATATAAATTGTTAAATTAATTAATAAAAATATCTAACTCGGAGCCTGTGAACAGCGAAGCTCAAGGAAAAGTGGCAAAAGCAGTAAATACGAGTCTCTTATATGGTTTACTTTATTTACACACGACATTGTACGGTTTATTGTATTATATTGTTAATGTTAATTGTTAATTAATGGGATAGTAAGACTTTGGGTGCCTTAATTTTAATAATTTTAGTTATTAATTTGATCCTTGAATTAATCTTTATCAATTAATTAAGTCTTTAAAATTTCATAACCATATTTAATTAATTCTTATGATGTTATTTCTACACTAATAATTGTGGGAGAGTGGTGTCTTCTTTTCTCTTATTCTCCATTTCTTTCTTGTTATTCTCATATGAGATCAAAATTATAATGATTTAGATTTCATATTTAATAAAATTATAATTCTAGTTTTACATAAAAATATATAAATAAATCTGAACCATTAAACTTTTTTTAAACCAGATGATGATCAACAACTAAAATTTGATATAAGTAATTTAAAACTATAATATTTTATTTATATATTTTTGTGTAAAATAATAATAATAATAATTTTATTAAAAATTAGATCTAAACTGTTGAAACTTTGATTTAAAATCATGGAGAATAGTCTGTAAGGAAAAAGGAAATGCCCCTTCCCGCGTTTATTAATTAAAGAAAATTAATCCATAAGTCACTGTAGTTTTACCTAATTCTAAATCGAGCCCTCTCGCTTATTATTATTATTTTTTTAATTAGATTCTCAAAGTTTGTTCCTTGCGTTGGACCTTCTGCTCCAAAAGTCGTTGGTTTACTAAGCAAGCAAATGGGAAAAATTTGCCACATAGACTAGCAAACATATTGAGGACCCTCACAGGACCGGGACTGAATTTTCATTATGTCTCACATCTCGTCTCAAAAGTTACCTTTTTTGTTACTAATTGAGATGGACTGAGATGATAAAAAAAAATTATATAAAAATTAGTATATCGTTGAATCAATGAATATGAATAATTATACCTGAATCATGAATCTGCATTTGAATTTGAATATAATTTAGTTTTGATATTGGTAATTTTTGATATATTAATCCAAATGAGATAGAAATCACATATGTAAATAAATATATGATTGACAATTTTAATTCAAATCTAATAATTAAGTAATGTTCTTTCTATTTATTGATAAAATAATAGTTAATTTAATAGATTTTTAATTGATAATTTTAGTTAATTACTAAGTATTGGGTGATGAAACTAAAATACAGAATCGAAATAAGTTAAATTTGCAAAAAATACCAACTAATTTAAGGTGTAAAATTACCAAAGTTACATATCTTTGAAAAAAATAAGTTTCCAAAATTAATCATGTCTTCCATAAAGTATTTGAAATTGTCAAAATACTATAATTTAAATTAGTACAATAAGTTAATCATATCAGTCATTATATTTAAAATAAAAAGTGAACTATATGTATCATTTTGCTAATAAGGATGTAGAAGCCAAGAATAAAAATTTTAGGATTGTACATTGATCTATGATGGCAAAAATAACAAATAAATATGTTGGATGAATCATGTATAATATATTGTGAGAGGATTCTCTCAACTTCCATTACTCTCCACTTCTTATATTTATTATTGGACCACATTTAAATGATTGAAATTTAATATATTAAAAAAATACTATCATATAAAATAAAAAATATACAAATAAATTTAAAATACTAAATAAAAAAATATTTTTATTATTACATTAAATAATTAAGATAATATATACATAAATAACAATTAAAAAATGTAAAGGATAATAAGTAAAAAAATTATTATATAAAATATTTTTTAAAAAAGTCTACATTAATGTTTTAAAAACTAAATTGAGTGACAAATTGGAAAGGCCAACATATCATGATTCTCATAATTTAATTGTTAAATCGGTCGTCACACCAATGACATAATAACTAAATCAAAAATAATATTTATATGCATATATTAACATATAGATATATGAGAAATAAAACATAAAAAATACTGAAAATATTCTTCCTAGTTTAGAGTTGTTTGGCCATAACATATTAAGTTTTAATCCTATGAACCAACAATTTATATAATTATTTTGAAGTTCTTGATAGATGCTTAAAGGATTTAATTTAAAGTTAAGTAGCTCATTAGTTGCTGATCTTTCCTTTGAAAGAGAAGTTGTATTTGATGGAAACTTTAGGCAAATCTTTCATGTTATTTTAGGTGATTTTAAAGAAGACATTATTTTTGCCACTATTAACTCTTTGTACATTTAAGATAATTGTCATCTTTAACTAGAAACATGAGATTTTTTGCCACAAACACAAGAGCATTTATTAAAATTTTAAATCACATAACTTATTAAATTTAAAACCAAAACAACATGAGTACATAAATTACAATAATTTTAAAATTAATTATTAAATTATATCGATTACAATTACAAGTGTACAACTTAAAGTCAAGTGTATATAATATATAACAATTATGATAGAAATTATAAGTGATCTCTAGACTATAAGAGCAACATCAATAAATAAATTAAGTACAACATTAAGCCATTGTTCTTTTTTTTTTAACTGAGATATATTAAGCCAGTGACCTTTTTAAAAATAAAGCAACAAAAATTATTAAATGGATGGATATAATGATAAATTATATTAATCCAATTAATATATTGTAAAGAACGAAATTATTCTATATTGCTTACTTTATGTCATTAAAATTATTGATATAAAAAAATTTTAGTTTTAAATAGGAATTGCACATATTAAAATTATAATTAATATAATTAATACAAATATAAATTATATTAATATAATTAATATACTTAATGTATATTTTTAAAATAAAATAATGTATATACATAATATTTAAGATGAGATAGGACGTTCTGATGGCAATCTCATATCCCATCTCATTTTGCAAAATTCCATCATATTTTTTTAATTTTAAAAAGTTTATTTCAATGTAATTGAGATAAAATTAGACTAATCGGGATGGGTACCTTGGTACATGGTATGTCAAAATTTATTCTTGAAAAACTTTTGCATGCTACAGGAAGTGTTTGATTTTGGGATGAATTTTAATCTTCTAAATATAAGGCCAAAAATAATCTGGCCCAAAAATGGACGAACTAGGGCCGTTGTGTGCAGTGGGGATGCCATTTTTGGAACAGCCAGAGAGTCAGAAAATGCAAGAATGGGAGTAAAATTGAAAGGATCTGTCCTCCAACCTCATTTAATGCCAAATTGAGCACTCATGATAATTCACTATTCACCATAAAAGAAAGCCATAATTCGATTAACTCATGCTCTGCCTCCATCTAGCCAGGATTAACGCCCTTTGTTCATTAACTGTAAAGGGCGTCCTAAATTAAAACTTAATTATTATACTAATTATGATTAATCAAGGATTAATTTAAAGAAATTATCCAATACGAGATTAACCCAAATAAATTCTTAATATGTATTTTTTTCAAACTATTTAATATAAAGGGATTTCAAATCTTTAAAATATTTTAGGAACTCATATCGTTTAATTAAACATATGCGGAAGCATAATAATAACTATTTTTACTTGCACAAATAATTTTGGCCCATTAATATAACACAAACATCAAAACACATTCTCAAGGGCCCAAAATATCTTTCTACCCAACACAAAACCCATAGTGCAAGTGGATCAAGAATATATTATCTTAATTGACAATATCATAAACTAAATACACATATCACATAAAAGGAGAGAGGCCTACAGAAGTGATTATTATCACTTGACCTAATGCTCCTTTCCTCTGTTCTTCTCAGATGAGCTAGCTCTTGTAATATGTAAAAAGAGAGGAGTGAGTACAACCACTCAGTAACCAAGGCATATCTAAGTTATACAAATGCATGATAATTAATCATGAATGCAAGTGGCCAATAAATTTATTAAGGTGACCATTCAAACAATCACATTAATAACATGTTAATCACATTAACATTTAACTCATGTGAATAATTTCAAGAATAATGTCAAGTATAAAATTTGCACAAATAGTCACATATACATTATTCACAAAATTAATACATATTCTCATTTCCACAATTATAATCATATTCTCAATATAGCCATCAATCACTCAAATGGCATGATAATAATAATATGTATGATCGATCTTTTCCTTATATCTCCCCTTATTTCCTCTGACATAAAATCCATGGGCCAACAATCGGAAGGGATCGTCCATGTGGTGAGACTACCCAAAGCCTTAATCATATCATGAGGGGCTACCAGGCTAGGGTTATCTTACTCACTTATGAACACGGTTTCCCCCAAATCACACACTATAGGGTGTTATACCCAAAACTAACTCTACCCAAAACTCCAGGTAGGCCAGTAGGGTCAAGTCCCTTAATAGGAACAATGCTACAGTACCTTACAAGGTAAATAGCGGCTATAACTCCTAGGATTATTGGTTAATAGCCAAGTACTATATGGATTTTGCATAACCGCTAACTCCTTCACTAAGGCGAACTCCCGCCGTATGATTATGCTCATGAGAAAAATGCATTTCAAAAACTCATATATATAATTCAAAATTATCCCACATGCTCATCAACTTTCTTACTCAACAAACATCAAGAATCATCATATTTCAATCATGCCTCTTGCATCAATTTTTATATTATCATACAAAACCACATTAGCATCATGTAAAACTCAACATGCTCATACCATTCACCACTGTGCATAATCCACAACTTATATCTAAGAGTGTACACATAATTATCAACCATCAATCTCATTACTCACACCAAGTCATAATTAACTTGGTCACAAGTCATAGAGTCTCAACAAAGCCACATGCATTACAAACAACCATTTCAAAATTTAGACATATATATATATATATAATTTTATTTCACCAACATAATTAATTAAGTAACATACAAATGTATAAAATAGATTTCCCCCGGTTACCTCAACCTTTGAGAGGTCAAAGGTTACCCCTCAAGTTACAACACTTCCAAAGTTTCCAAAGCTTGAATGGTGTCAAAAGAAAATTAATCTACAATTGATCAGATCCCAATGTGTTAATAATATTATTAACACAATTTTCACTCATACTCTAACACCTAAGTATGTATTTTATTTTATTTTATATTTATTTTATTTTTATATATTTTTTTTAAGAATTTAGTCTTAGTCTCTTGAATTCTAAAATTTAATTTCATGTATTTGAATCTATCTACTTGGTTCAATAGTCTCTTTCACAATAATTTCATTCAAATAATTTTCTAATATCAAAATTTCTCTTTTTATTTCAAAAATTCGCACATAAAAATACCCAAAAATTGCAAACTTGATTTCAAGCCTAGAATCATTATTCTATAGCCATAATAATTTATTTCTCATCTCAAATAATCATCTAAATATCAACAAATTAATTTATATTTTTAGATTTAACCAAAAATCTATCCATAGGGATTTAGGGATAAACTCAAATGCCTCAAATTCTAATTCTATCAACAAAATAATACTCTAGAATATTTATTACACTACCAACAACCTCAACAATCAAATTTTCTCACCAAAAATTCATCCCTCTTTCAAACCCTAGGTTTTCTAAAATTTCAGAATCTGCAGCTCAAAGGAAAAAACGACTATGAAAAAATGTTTAGAACACTTACCTAATCATAAAATACTTAAAATTTCATCTGAAATATCTTACTATGGAGCTTCACCTTCTAAATCAACTCCTCTAGCTGCAGCGTCGCTCGTTCTCTCACTCGCTCTCTGTGTGTGGATGCAGAAACGAAAAGGAGGAAGAGAATGAAAAGCCAGAAGTCTTTGGCTTGTTTTATTTTAAAATGGTGTGGGTCTCACATAATAATTCACACTCCTACTTTCTTTTATTATTATTATTATTATTATTATTATTATTATTATTATTATTATTATTATATATAATCATTGTAGCACACGGATGCCGAAAGCTCTCTTCTTCTTCTCTCTCTCTCTCTCTCTATTTTTTTTACATTATTTACACATCAACACCCAAAGCAAAAATTATTTCTCTCCCCCCTCTAATTTTCAATTTATTTTATGTTCCTTTTCCTTCATCTTCTTTTTTCTAATAATATTATCATTACTATTTCTATTTACTATAAGATCATAACTTAAAATTTTAATCTAAATTAAATTCAATAATAATTTTCTAACTAAAATTATTTATATCTAAATATTCCTTCAAAATTACTCATTTGCTCTAAATTAACTTAATTAACCTAAGGTTAATTTTTTGAGATGTTACATTAATCACTATAAAAAGAGATCTCAAAAATTACTTAAAGAATCCATGAAAGAATACATAAGTATTCTATGTGAAAATTAATATCAGTTAACTCTAATAAATTACACATAAATAACAGGATAAAATTTTTTATCCAAATAAAAAGCCAACCATTATTTTAAGAACTTACCATATTAATTTCTTTTACAGGGTGCTTATTTGAAATTTCATGAGTCCTTTTTTTTGTGTTATTTTTAGGCTTTTAAAATTTTTTGATCAACTAACTATTAAACTTAACATATTAAATGGTAGGGTGTCTAGTTTACCATTTTCAAGTGTATTAAAAGATAAAATTGTTCCACATGAAAATTTAGAATATTAAACACTCCTGAATAAATAGTTAAAATACAAAAATTAAATATATTTTACAGCCTTTTTTGCAAAAAAAATTATAAATTTCAAAAATATAATTCATTTAATATAATCTTAAATAATTAGGGAGACAGGGAAGACTATAATAACAAGGGAATGATAATATCAGAAAAGTATGCTTAACTGAACCTTGGTTTCATCAAACTAATCTATATTTTAAGATATTTAATCATCTCCAAAATTATATTATAAATTGAGAGGAATGAGAGGGAAATTATATTATAAATTGAGAGGAATGAGAGGGAGTGTATGATAATTCAGATGAGTAGATTAATCAGACAGACCAGATATGACATATGTTTGTGCGTTTGGGCTTATGAATTTTTTTTTTTTTGAGTAAAAGGGAAATTCATTAAGAAAACTGTACAAAAACAAGAGGCAGAAGCCAATTACATCAAATGCTTAAAAGTAGGAAGAACTCTAAGGGTGTGATCTACCAAAGTCCTAATGTGTATAATGAATGAATCAATAGAGTAGTGATCAGCAGTAAAGATTCTATGGTTTCGAACCTCCTATAATTTCCAACATATAATGGTAATTCCCACTTTCCAAGAGATGTCTAGCCTTTTACTCTGGATTGAACAAACAAGCCAAGATTTAAAGGTAGTTTTGCAAAATTCAGCATACATATCCATCAGTAAAACTTTTTTCCATACGGCAGCTGCAAAGGAACAACTTTAGAAAACATGATTTATGTCTTTAACTGGGTTGTTGCAAAGAGAGCACAGGGGGTTATCAGTCATCCTCCTTCGTAGACGTTCAAAATTTGTTAATAAACGACCTTTAAGTAGTAGCCAAATGAAAGTTTTCACTCACTGGGCTACTGGAAGCTTCCATACATGCTTCCATTTTGTGTCTGCATTGTTCCAAATTTGAGAGACAAAGGCTTGGTATGCTGATTTGACAGTAAATGCACCATTAGGAGTGAGATTCCAAGAGCAGGTAGTCGTAGAACCAATAGGAGCAATACTAACAGTGTTAATTTGTTGTAAGATGGAATCAGGCAAGAGATGTTCGAAAAGGCTCCAGTTCCATTGACCATTGTCTTTAAGAAAATCAGTAATCAATTTTTCTTTTTCAAGCTCAGTAAGATTAGTCTAGGCAAGGTTCCTTAAAGGTTCCAAGTCTCCAACCCAAAAGTCAGTCTAGAATTTTAAATGCCTACCATCACCTGGTTTCCATTTGATACGTATCATTAATTCTTCTCAAATGTTTGTAATGCTTCTCCATAAATAAGAAGGTTTTGAGCATTTAGGAATTGATGGATATAGTCCTTTGATATTGTATTTCCCTCGCAAGACAAGCACTCATAGCATAGTTGGGTTTGAGGCAATTTTGTAAACTAATTTTGCAAGAAAGGCCTTATTTTGACCTTCTAAGTTCAACAATCCACAACCTCCATGAGATAAAGGTTGACAAAGGTCATCCCATTTGACCAAGTTCACACCTTGATGATCATCTGTATGACCCCAAATGAAGTTTCTTACAATTTTCTCAATTGCATGGCAGCTAGAGACAGAAAAGGTACTCAGTATTGAGTAGAAGGGGATGGATGTAAGCACCAACTTAACTAAAGTAATGCGATCAGCCAGGGAGAGGGTTCTACTTTTCCAACTAGCTAGCTTTTGCTGAATTCTCTCAAGACTATAATTGTAAGTGGTGGTAGTTACTCTCCCAGTGATTAGGGGAATACTAAGGTATTTCTCAAGGGAACTTGTGCCTTGGAACCCCAATTTTTGACAAATGTTATTGCAAGAAGCATCAGGACCATTCTTGGAGAAATAGATTTAGGTTTTAGAGTGGCTGATAACTTGTCCTGATGAGATGCAGAATTACTATAATACTCTTTAAATTGTTTCAATTTACAAATCAAATGTGTCGCCAAAGAGAATTAAGTCATATGCAAAAAAAAAAGATATGAGAGAGCTTCACTCCTTCAACACAGCTTAATAGTATGCCAAGTTCCTTTGACAACTTCAGCCATGATTGCTTGTGATAAGCGTTCCATGCAAAGAACAAAGATGTATGGGGAGAGTGGATACCTTGGTAGCACACCTCTCATAGGGGAGAAGCTGTTAGTGGGGCAACCATTCCAGATGACTTGCATGGAATTAGAAGTAATACAAGTCATGATTAGATTAATAAGGGAAGAAGGTAAACCAATATTTGTTAAGGTGTCAAGGATAAATTCCCATCGTAGCTTATCAAAAGCTTTCTCAAGGTCTACTGATGACTTTTGTTTGGACTTGTGACTTTTGTTTTCATTCAGTACTATTAAGACTTGCTATCTTTTATTAATGGAACTAAAATTTATACCTCATGCGATGCATGAAAATATTAACCCTCATTTTTTGTTTAAAGTGAATAAAAAAAGATAAATAACATTTTAATGAATTCAATTTTAAAAAAATGGACAAATATATTGTAAAATTTCATTTGAGATATGTAAAAGAAAAAAATAAAAAATCAATTAAAAACCTTGGGTTAATGAGCATTCTGGACTCTAAAGTATTACGCAAAAAGTACTATAGGCCCTAAACTCTTAAAATGTATAAAATTAATCCTAAACTTTTAAATTTATAGCAAAATTATACCTCATCATTAATGTTGTTACTATTCATTAAGTGGGGTTTGATAAAAATGTTGATGTGACAGTCCATTACTAATGTGTCATTTTTAATAAGCGCCACAAATCCTAAATTTTTGTGCGATTAGTATCTTGAATCTTGAACTTTAAAATTCAGAGCAAATTACCCCCAATATTTATACATAGTATACTGACTATTACATAGATCAAATTAGCCTCGTCGTGGTCCGCATCATTTGCTACGGTGAATGACTCATAATTTTATGAAATGACATATTTTGTTCCTTTTTTGTAATATTTTTCAAATTGTTGGTATCTCATGTTTTTATATAATCTATAACCCTAATTTACTCTTATTTTGAATAATATTTATTTATTCAATGGTGAAAACTTAGGATTTCATTTAAAAAGAAATTTAAAAATTTTAATTAACCAATTGATTTGGGTTTGAAATCTATTGATGAAATTGTTGACTTTCGCATCCATAATCTATAAAATCTTTTGATACATAAACTTCTTTTCAAATGAGATTCTAAATTTTCACCATTAAATAAATAAACTTTATTTAAAATAAGATTAAATCAGAGTTATAGAATATATGGAAGTATGAGACACCAAGCATCTAAAAAATATTACAAAAAAGGGCAAAAAATGTCATTTCATAAAATTATGGGTTGTTCATCACGGCCAACGATACATTCACCGTAGCGGATCACGTTGAGGCTAATTTGATTTATATAATGATCAGCATTCTACACATAAATGATGGGAATAACTTGCTTTAAATTTTAAAGTTTAGGATTAATGATACTACTCGTGTTAAAATTTGTGGCTCTCATTAAAAATGACACATCAGCAAGAGAGTACCATAACAACATTTGACTAGGCCCCACTTGATGAACAGTAATGATATTAATAATGAGTTAATAGTGGGGTTTAATTTATTATGAAGTTAAAAGTTTAAGGTCCAAAATACTTTTCACGTAATATTTTAGGGTTCAAAATGCTTATTAACACAAAAATTTCTAACTACAATTCTCTTTTTTTAAAAAAAAATGGAAGTCACTAAAATTTAAAATCCCACCTCCCAATCATTTTGTTCGATTGAAACAAATCATAAAAATGAATAGAACTTAAATTGCAAGTAAATATCAATTTGGTAATTTTATAAAAATACTAGTTTATAGAAAGTGTGAAATAAAATTATATATGTGATTATAGATAAATGATTACCATAATAAAAATTAACAATATACTTTTAATTTCCTAACATATTTGTGATTAAAAAATAGAAATAAATAATAACTTGTTTTGTCATAAAATTTGTTATCCCATATATAATCAAATATAGATACTCTTTCCAATCAAAAAATGTAAAGTATTTTTAATCGAATCTCATCCCCCAATAAAGTAATTACCTACTTTTAAATTAATCCTATATTTTTATATTTACTCCTATTAAACACCCTATAATAAATATAAAATCACTATCAATAAGGGCTTTTTTTTTAAAAAAATAATGATTATATCTCGAAAGACTAAAAATACTTTACATTTTTTAATATCTAACTTTTTAAAAATATCTTACATTTTTTAATGGAGGAAATAATAATTTATTTCAATATATGAATTGTTATATCTATGTAAATTAAAATTCTAAAACATATATATTTCTTTTAAATTGTATGAATATTTTATTTTATTTTAGTATTGGCTATAACAATTGAAGGATAAAAATTATTTCCCATTAAGAGAAGTACCCACATTTAATACTCGATTGTACCTCGAATAGAATTGCTTCTAATAAAAAGATAATTACTAGTAATAAAAATGATAACAATTTGTTTTATTCTTATATAAATTATTTTAAAATATGATATTATGTGCATATAAAAAATATTAAAAATTTTTATACGTGAACTCTACATAAATTAAAATTTAAACGATATTTTCTAGTTAAAAAGTTATTACTTATAAATATAAATAATCACTTATTTTATTTATGGATTTCTTATCCTTGTGCATATAAAAAATGTAAATAAAATTTTTTTATATAATTATCTAACTAAGTTAAATTCAATTATTGATCAACATAATTTAAAATATCTCTTCTAAAAATAATTTTTGCATTCACACAACTTTTTATTATAAATTTTTTTACCTTTTCATCAACTTATTTTATTATATAACTTGTCAGCACAATAAAAATGTAAACAATATATTTTTTAAGCAAAATTTATTACCCTTACACTTTGTTATTAAAATTTAAAAATTAAATCATAACATACATAAACAAAAAATATGTTAAAATACTATCACTCAATATACATTATAACTCATTCTACTTTATAATTTATTACCTAATACATATTTAAAAAGGGATGCTAAAATTTGGTTCAATAACAATTTACTCTTTCAATATTGCCTTAATAAAAAGTTAGCATCTTAAATTTGTCTCAATAACAATTTAATCCTTCAAATTTATTGTTTTAAAAAAAGGTAATGTATTGTTAAAATTTGCTAACATAGATGAAAAATATTGAATTAACAGCCATGTAAATTAATGATAAAATCAAATTGACTTGAAGACAAGTTTGTTTTCATTTAGCCAAATGTAATATATCAAGTTATCAGCATACTTTATATGTTATATTAATTTAAGGGTGAATTTTTGTTTCAAAACCTAAAAGATTAAAGTGAAAATTTAAGAAAATGTTAGGGATTAAATCGATAAAAATTAACCTTAAGAAAATAAATCAATAAGTAAGCAAATTTGAGGGATTTGAAGTTTCATTATCCCTTTAAAAATAAAAAATGTACTTTATTCTAAGATTCATTACCCCATGAATTTTAAATATACGAAAACCAACTTATTCTAGTTTAAAATTTATTGTACTTGGTAACAAATTAAAAATTCATCTTATGAGTAAAAATAAGAAATTTATTTTATAAAAATCTGTTTTATTCTATAATTTATTTCCTTTGCATGTAGACCTAAATTTCAATGGATGTAGATTTAAATTTTTATAATTTTTAAAAAATAAATTTAAATTTTATTATAAGTTTTCAATTTACATTTTTATTATATGTTTAACATTTAACATTTATAATAAAACAATAGATAGCATTATATGACAAAATATGTTACAACATTCCAATTAAATTGAATAATTATTATCATACCACATCTGACACTCATTAAGTGATAGAATTTATTTCAGTCATTAAATTTAAATTTGATATATCTCACAAAATCACTATAATTCTATGATAATCCATTGACAAATTGTACTATATATTTTCTCAATTTTTAAACATAAGCAAATTTTTCATATGGTTTGTTGTTATTTTTCATAAGGAAAAAAATTTCAAAAAGTATTTATGACATTTTTGAATTATTCTTCATTAAATGACAGTATCATTAAATTAGGAAAATAATATTAATCATAAGTACATCTTAATCCATATTTTTTAATTTTAGATATAATTATTAGAATTAACTAATTTTTTAAACTATGTGAATTGAATAAAATTTTCTTAGATATAAAAGTGAATGAGAATAAATGATTAATTTAAATAATAAAATGTTCTATTTTATATTTATTATTCAAATTTTTATGTTATATACAAATAATTACAAAAAAATATATATTAGATCTCATACATATTGTTGAGTCACATATTTACAAACATTTTTCAATGCGGGTCCTGCACTTTTTTTTTAATTTGTATGTTATATATAATTAATTATATTATACATATACAAAATAAAAATAACAAATGATAAATCTCCTACATTTACAAAAATATATTAGATTTTATATATTCTCTTCGTTAAAAAATGTAAGAGATTTTTAATCAAATTTTACCCCCAATAAAGTAGTTCTTTATTTTCAAACTAATTCTATCTCTTTATATTTATCCTTATTAAATATCCTATAATAAATATGAAGTCATTATCAATAGGGGTATTTTTTTAAAAAAAGGTAATAATTACACATTAAAAAATTAAAAATTCTTTATATTTTTAAATATCTAACTCTTTAAAAAATGCTTTATATTTTTAAACAGAGAGAATATATTATTTTTTTTATTAATCTTATATTTACAAGCACTTTTTTAAATTATGGATCCCACACCTTTTTTTAATTTTTATTATAAGTTTCATATAAACTCTTATTATAAAAAACCAATTTTTTTTAAAAAAAAGTATGGTACTGTTCATCCTCCTGTAGATCAAACAGTATGATAATACCCACTTTACAATCAATATATGTGTGTGTGCGCGTCACACACACACATATATGATACAACACACACACGTATATGATATAATTTGATTTGATTCCTCAGTCGGTCCAAAACAAAAACGAAAAATTAACAGAGTATTGTTGAGTCGAAGTCAAATCAAGGCAACAAAAGAGTGCTCACACAAAATCGAAGCAACATAAGGAAACGAAAATCGAGGTGTGAGATTCCTTACTCACAGAATATGGTACCGATAACAGAGAAGCGACTCTAGGGATATATTGTGATTATGGGGGATCCGTCTTCGGTGCTTAGCACTCAGGCGCTTTTTAATTTTATATTTTATAAAAATAAAAATTTATAATTTTTTTATAAATATATTCATCATTAATCTATACAGTATTAATTTAATTTAAATAGTTCAACTTAATGTTATAATTTTTATAAATTAACTATCTAAATGTATTTTGGATAATTCAGATTTAATATTAAATTTTTATTTATAAGGTCTAGATTTTTTATTTTTATTTTATATTCATTAAAATAAAAAAATTATTAAAAAAATTATTATTGAATCTGTATTGTCCACAGTATATCTAGCTAATCAATTTATAAAAATTATAATATTAAATTAAATTATTTAAATTAGATCAGTACTGTTTAAATTAATGATAAATATATTTATCAAAACAATTTATAAATTTTTATTTTTTATAAAGTATAAAATTTAAAAAATTTGCACCATCTAAATTTAATCTTTAAATTGCTTAGATTTATTTTGGGTCCCGAAGACGAACCCGATTATGAGTACCCGCGAAACTTTGGCTAGGCAACTTTGGGTCTGAAGATTACTCTGAAAAAGGGGAAACTTATAATGATGCCCCAAATTTTAATAATATCTATAGAAAATAATTGAAAAGAGATAAAGAAATAAAGGAAAATATTCGTTGCCACCTGCCAACAAAAATAATTGATTGAACTAACAAACACATATATAGCTCAAATGACAGAGTTACGCTAATTTAATCAGTGACCTCGAATTCACATCCTAGATATCTACTGATGTTCAATATTGATTGGGAGAGCTTTGTCATCAAGATGATTCTACTCGGCTCGGCTTATGAATAATAGGCAATGATAAAGAAAGCGATTGGATGGGATATTGAAGAATACATTTTCAATCTTTTAGTTTTACATTATATTTAAATGAGAAAATCACTATCAAGTCTTCTATAACCAATCTAAATACCCAAACGTCTCCTCAAATCCATAGATAATTCTCAGGTCCCGTAGAACTTAAATTTAAATAAGATTAAAATTACAATTATCAAAAGGAAAAAAAAAACTCATATACTTGTCTTATATACTTAAGACACTTGTTTTCAATTAAATTAAAACATTTATATTTTTTATAAATTATTTAATCTATGCCAAATTTATGTCATCACTACTATTAAATATATTTTTAAGAATGCCTATTTTAGAGTATTTATATAAAAAAGTGTTCCAAAAAATATAGGTGAAAAATACTGGAGCACTTTTTTTGAAAAAGCACTTTGAAATATTAAACCTATAGGAGCACTTATTAATAAAACACATTCAAAAGAAAAAAAATTAAAAATAAAACCTATAGGAGTGCTTTATGGTATTTTTATAACAAATATTTTATTTTTTCATCACCTAGATAGGAGTGCTTTATGTGTCAAAAAAAATAAAATATTTATTATAAAAATAAGGATCTATAAGAGAACTTTTTCTATAAGCAATCTTATGCTTCCAAAAAATAAAATCTTTTTAAAATTCGAGACCTATAGAAGTGCTTATAGGTGCCAAAAAAATAAAATAATTTTTTTAAATAATGACCAATAAAAGCACACCTTTAAGTTTTTAAAAATAAAAAAATTTAAAATTAAGACTTGTAAGGGTGCTTTCTTTGAGAGCACTCTTATAATTGTCATAAAAATTTATAAAACTTAATTAGGTAATAATAAAAAAAATTAAATAATTAAAACTTACAAAAGTTATAGATTTTTTTAAGAGCGTTTTTTTAAAAAAAGCTCCTGAAGATTTTCTATTTTTTTAATTAAAAAAAGTAATTAATTTTATATCAGACTTTTGAAATATGCAATTAGTAGAACCTCTGATCTTTTAAAACCTTCAAGCTTCATTCTCTCCCTTTGACCGTTCTTGTCGTTGTTCTTCCACCGTCGATCGAGCCGTACTTCCTGCCGTTCCAGTCGCTTCGACCAACCCGTTCTTTCATCGTTCTAGTTGCTGTTTCTAGTTTCAGATCACTGCAGTACCTGTTTCTAGTTTTGACCGTTCAGTCCCTGTTTCAGATCGCGTTCCGTCCCTGTTCCGTCATTGGTGCTACCATAGTTGTTTCAATTTCTGTCATTGCTGTCGTCCCCTTTCGGTGCCTATTCCGAGGTTAGTTTTAATTTTTTTAAATTATATAATTATATAGTAATTTTAATAAGTTATTATATATATATTACTAATAATAATACATGTTTATAACTATGGTTTTTATTTTGTTTTAGATGTTAAACTTCTCTCTTATTAGTTAAAATTGAACTTGAAGTTGATTATAATTATATATGATTGAGTTGTTATGTAAATGAATTTTTTATGATTATAATTGTATTAAGTTAATAGTTAAACTTAAGATAAATCACAATTGTTTGATAGATTTTTGTTACATTATGCTACAATTTTTTTTTTGATGAATTGATATATTGAATTATTGAAGTTAATTATTTGGGATGTTTCACTTTTAGAGGGGACTTTGCCAAATTTTTTAGAAAAATATTCTAAATCTTTGTTTTTTTTTGTATTTTTATGACTGTATTAGTGATATGGATTGTAAATAGATGTTAGCTAATCGATTGTCTAGAAAATATTAGAATGGGGTGGATGAGTTTATTGAGTTTGCATTTTCTCGTGATCAAGATCTCCGTGGAGTCATATGTCCTTGTTTAAAATGTTGCTATAAAAAATGAGTAAGGCTAATAGAATTAAAAGATCATTTAGTATGTAATGAGATTGATCCAACTTACACATGTTGGACCATATATGGAGAGATAAGAAATTATACTAGTGATTGGAGGGATAATGTGAGCTACGCATCATTTGATCATGATAGTGAGATATATGATGTTGACCATCTTGATGAGATAATTGATATGATTGAAGAGAATTTTAAGGACTGTCTTGAGATGTTTGAGAGGTTAAAGAGTGATGCTAATAGACTATTGTATCTCGATTGTAAAAAATTCACAAAATTATTAGTTATTTTGAAATTGTACAACTTAAAAGCAGCTAATGGATGGAGCGATAAGAATTTTACAGATTGCTTGAACTTTTATATGAGATGTTTTGTAACATCCTGATTTTTAATTTCCTGATTAATTAAATCTAATTATGGTAATTAAGTAAATTAAAGTGGTATGTGGCTAAAGAGGTCTAAAAATCATGTTTGATTCTATTTCAGCTCTAGTTGTGGCTCTGGTATCAAGGCGGACCACTCGTGCATCGAAAGGAGAAGAAAAAGAAGAGTTGCAGTTGATGTGCCACACGTCGCGGTGTGTAGATCGTCTACCACGGAGCATAGCCATATCTAAGCGAGGGAGGACCTCTTTGTGCCATGTGCCATGGCGCATTGTGCGTCCGCCGCGACATATGGCCATTTTCTGGATTTTATCATATGCGAAATGAGACAGAAAAAAGAAAAAGAGAAAAGAGAGAAAGACGAGGCGCACCATAACTCTGCTAGGGTTTACTTGGGGATCACTTTGAGAGTATTTTGAAGGCTACAAACACCCAAGGTAAGTATTATACTCATTAATCTCCCTTTTTCCTTCCACATTTATGAGTTTATGATTAGGGTTTGATAGTGGAAGTAGGATTTCGATCCGTATAGGTTATGGGCCTGAATTTGTTGAATCAAATGGAGTTAATGGGGGTAGATTAGAGTATTTAAACTCAGGTATGATGAGTTTTTAGTGTCTTAGGTTGTTGGGCACTATAAATACCCAAAAATCTCATTTATTATAGGTGGTTAGAAGTTTGTGATGCCATTAATGGGGATTTAATGGCTCATTAATGTTATTAGGAGCTAAAGGTAATTATTAAACCCAATGGTTAGACTCTACCTCTTGTTAAGTGAAGGTTGGACAATTTAGAAGTAGAGATTGAGGGTTCAAATTGTTTGAATTTGTTATGTTAATGGAATTCAACTTGGTTGACTGTAGTTTTGGCTTTTAGTCTCCTATTAGAGTAGAAATTCAAACTTGAAAGCTAATTGATTGAGGGGTGAACTTTTAACCTCTCAAAGGTTTGAGGTAATCAGAGAAAAACTCTACTTTAGGTAGCTGTATGTTAATTGATTGTTGAGTGCAAATAGTAAATGTTACATGCATGAGATTGATTTTTATGTAAAACTATATATATGTTTTATTGAGTGTATGGAAATGTTATTTTTGACTTGAAAGTGCAATGTGCAAAGTCAAGAGAGTTCTAACAATGAATATTATTTTTGTTGCTGAAAGATGTATGTGATGAGGTATAGAAGTAGTTGTTTGTTAATGAAAAAATTGAATTTTGAGAAATGATGAGAATACACACTTGGGTAGTGTAAGGTCGTGAGCTTAACGTGGTTGTTGTAAAAGTGAGTAAATGAAAGCAAAAAAGTAAACTCAAGTAAGTAATGATTATGGCATAATTAGTGGCAAGAGTTTGCCTAGGGATTTAGGAGTAGAGAAAATTCATATAGTAATTCGGCTGCCCTCCAGTGCATGGGGGCTAAAGGCTTGTCCCACTGTTTGTTGAGGGACTGTCTCATAGTTTATCAAGGGACCAGAACCTAGCTATCTCCACCGATTCAATGAGGAGAATAGCCTAAGGTATGAGACACCCCAAGGATTCAAGAATAGGGGAACCCGTGGTTCAAGAGTGAGTCTTGTAATCTTTGGCCAGGTCACACCTCATGATTAGTGAGTTTGGGTAGTCCAGTTATACGGACGGAGCCCTAATCAGCATGGTATTAAAACCCAAACTGAAGTGGTTGGGTCAACCCAAAAATCGGTGACCCGGTCCTTTGTCTGGTCTGGGTTTACTTTTAAATCGGTGAGGAAATGAATCGATGTAACCCGATCAACCCGAGTTCAACTCGGTATAATTCGGTTAATCCAGTGGGTTAACTGGGTTAACTAGGTTATTTTTTTAGGGAATTTTTTTTTCATTTTTTATTTTTCAGAGTGCTGAGTTCAGAAATGAGATGACAAAAAAAATAAAAATAAAGTCAAAAAATAAAAAATTAGAGGTAGAGCACACTAAGTCCAATCCAAATTTTCAGACAGCATTTAGTTCGGCCTTTCATCTGTGTCTCTCCTCTCTCGCCCTAACGTAATCAGCGTCTCTTTTCTAGCTTAGTCTCCGTCTCTTCTCCAGGCTCCAGCTCAATCTCCGTCTCTTCTCCAGCTCTATCTCTGTCTCTGCTATCTCCATCTCTTCTCCAGCTTAGTCTCTGACTCTCCGTCTCTTTTCCAACTCAATCTCAATCTCTTCTCCAGCTCTATCTCCATCTCTTCTCTACACTTTTGAGATTTAAGAGTTGTAATGATAGATATTTAAAGTGTTATATTTTATTACTGTTAGACTTTTGAGTGGTTGGATTTGGTTGAATATTTTTATAATTAATATCTTTTTATTTAAATTGTATTATTCTAATCATGATCGGTTTGCCACCGGTTCAACCCTAATTGAACCACTAACCTGTGACCCAGTGCCATGACCAGTTCAATGACCGGTCCAGTTTTATGTACCTTGCTAATCAGTGTTATAGCCCACGGTTTCAGTTTAAGAAAATAAGGAGGATATAAGGTTGGTTGATCATTGCCTAAATAAATATATGACGTGTCACACGTGCTAAGTGGTGGCAAGTCGCAAGAGTATGGGTCTTGTCTCATATCTAAGAATATGGAGACAATGCACCTAGCTATGTGAGTAATGAAGTTATAGAGTGATAAATGATAAAATTTAATATATGGGGATATGTTTTATAAATTTGATCTCCTTATGCATGTTTTTGCTTTATAATTGATATATAACTATATAGGATAGGTTTAACTTTAGTTATTGAGTGGCTAGATTCACCCCTCTTATTTAATATTTTTCAAGCTCTAGCTCTGGTGTTGAGAGGGAGAAGACTAAAGAGATAGGAAATTAGTATATTCCTACTATATGCCTCTAGATTAGCTTTAATTGTGTAATAGTATATAGCTTGTCAATTCTAGGATGCATATTACCTCACTTGCACTATTTTGGTTGTTGAAAATGTTAGAATTGTATTTTGGGCCTTAGCCTTTATGTATGTTGTCATATATATGTTTATAGGGTCAAAATATTAGTGCAAGTATAGAAAAGAAGTTTTGAGCATGTTTTGAATGATTTGAGTTAAATGCAATGCTAATTTAACTCCCCCTTTATTTTTGGTAAATTGGGATTGAGGAGTGAATTTTAGTTATAATGTTGTCTCCGTGCTTTTGCATGTTGTACTGATAGTCCTAGGTCCATTCGATATGATCTAGGTGTTAGGAAAAGCTTTTGGCACTTGTTGAGGGTTTGGACACCCATTTTGTGTAAAGTGTTAAAAAGTGGTTAAAATGTGTTTGGATATCTAACTTCCTAGTGTGGTTTGTTTTGGAAATAAAACCCATGCCATTAGTTAGTACAGGAAAAGAGCTTTCTGTAGACACCTAGATCACGTCATTCGAACGTCGGATAGAGAATTGGGACGAGTCAAAAGTTCCCCCAATTCTGCTGTCAAATGACAGCAGAACCAGTGAAATTTTGTGCAACACACCACGGCGCATGGCGCCTAAGCCATGGTGCGTGGCACAAAAAGCAACACATCATAGCACAGAGTGTGTCTGCCACGGCACATTGCTCCGTATTTTAGTATATAATTTGTTTTCAATCGTTTTCGACTTCTTTCACTCCTTTAAGGTATCCTATGTTTTCGAAACTTATTTTTACTCTGATGTGAAAGATTTTTATCGATGTTAACTTGTTTCTATTTAAAAAATATAGGATCCCTTACTTTTAAATTAAAACTTGGTAATCACTTTTCGAAGCTAATCCCTCAATTACCATGAGTTTTATTTGTTAAGTGTGTTTAGTGGAGTGAGAAGGTTACATGTTTCCAGAGTACAATGAGCTTCTACCTAATACTTACGAAGCTAGAAAGGTGCTATGTATTGTTGGGATGAGTTATAAAAAGATACATTCATGTCCTAATGATTGTGTCCTCTTTCGAGATGTGTATTCAACTTTAGATAAGTGTCCAAAATGTGATGTATCACGATACAAGAGAAATGGGTATAGTTCGACGAAAGCATTGTGGTATTTTCTAATCATACCAAGATTCAGACGCCTATATAATATATAGACGATGCTAATTTTAACTATTTTACTGTAATCAATAAAAAATAATTAACTCATTAGTTTTATTTAAAAATAAAACAAACTTTCAATTAAGTACTTAACATGGCATACTGATGAGAGAATCAAGGATGGCAAGCTATGACATTCTAAAAATTCTATTCAATGAAAAAAGTTTAATCTTATGTATTCCAAGTTCGAAGATGAAGATAGAAACATGCGCCTTGCATTAGCCACTGACGAAATGAACCCTTATGACATGCAAAGTAATACTCATAGTACATGGTCGGTAATTTTGATGATCTATAACCTCTCTCCATGGTTGTGCATGAAACACAATTTTATGATGCTGTTATTATTAACTTCTAGGCCTCGACAACCAAGAAATGATATAGATGTATATTTCGCTTCGTTGATTGAAGATTGAAGCTATTATGAGAGATATGTGTGGAGGTCTATGATGGGCACAAGGAGGAATAATTCATCCTACGAACTATGTTGTTTAGCACTATAAATGACTTTCTTACCTATGAAAACCTGTCAGGATATATTGATGCATGCCCTATATGTGAAGAACATACTTGTTTAATGCGATTGAAACATTGTAGGAAGAACGTCTTTATGAGTCATTATTGATTTTTGCCTTAAGCACATCATTATCGACGATTGAAAAAGGCTTTTAATGGCCCTTTAGCGAAGTGTAGAGTTCCTTTGCCTTTAATTGATGAGCAGCTCTTTGAAAAATTACACAAAAAGGGATTAGGATCCCAAGACATCAGAAAAACAATTACTCCATTAAATTCATTTAAGAAAAATTATATTTTAGGCCCCAATTTGACGAACGTTTGTTGAAAGTTAATGATAGGGACGAAATTGGTCCAACTTTAATTGTTTAGATTCATGATACATCTTTTTAAAAGCTTAGGGTTTAAATTGCCCTTGAACTTATAATTCAAGGTACAAATTACATATTAACCCTTTTATATTTAAAAAAAATGCTCCAATCAATAATAATTCAATAGTAACAAAAAAGTGTATTTGCATGTTATATCAATTTTTAAAAAGATTTTGAAGGAGAGTGTAAGTTTCTTAATTTGAATTGATCGATAAAGGTAAAAATTTATAAAATAAAATTAAATGCTTTTATAATATATTGATAGAGAAAAAAGTGTATAAATTCTAGATTTTTTCCAAAAAAAGAATGATAGTATTTTTTTTTCACTGATATTATTATAAGATTTCATTATGTTAAAGAACAAAAGGGAAAAAATATAAAAGTTCGTTTATAGCGAAAGATTATGCTGCGCTCTTATTGTTGCTACTAATAGCCAATTAAAACCCCACCTAACAAGAACAAAAATAGTCAACTCGATGCTTGTCTTATTCATACCCATCATAATCTCCGCCAAAAACTGCTTTACTCATTATTACAATGTACAGCCTTCTTTTACATAGTTTTATCATCATTATTTACCTTTTTTAATTCCTTCTTCTCATATCCTAAAAAATTTGTAATATTATCATGTGGTTAATATGTAATTTGAACGTTAAACTATAGGTTCAGGAACAATTTAAACCCTAAACTTTTAAAAGAGATGCATTCTAAATCCTAAACAATTAAAGGTGAGATAATTTCACCTCTATCGTTAACTTTCAACAAATGTTTATCAAATTCATTTGAAAAAAATTGCAATTTATGTCCCAATTTGACATATCTTTTTAAATTTAGGGTTCAAATAGTTCCTGAATCTATAGTTCAGAGTTTAAATTGCATATTAACTCAAAATATAATTATCTCAAATTATCACAAAAATAACAAATGGGAGTTAAAATTAGACTCAAGAAAAAGAAGGAAATATGAATATGAAGGAAACAAATATTTAAAAGAATTACGTTAATATTAGTGATTTGGAAATAGTCACGAGAATCAATCATGAGATTTGCAACCTTAGGAAGTTTTGGAAACATCATTGTTTTTTTGGATAAAAATTGGAAACATCATTGTCTTCCCCCCAAGATTCCAGCATTAACAAAAGCAAAATAAGCCCAATTTTGAGCCCAAAAGATCAAAGCAATTTCCTTTCCTTTCTTTCCTTTTTATTTTTCCTTTTTTTTTTGTTGAAGAATAGTGGGCTTTGGAGTGAATGGGCTTAAATACTGCTAGAACCCAATTACAACTCATTTAACGGACATTTACCTAATGCTACTATTTTGACTTAAATATCACACGCAAATCCATATTCTTAACCTATTCAATCTAAGCTTCCATTTAGTCTCAATAGTCTAAGTACCTGTTTGAATTTTAGTTGCATATAATAAATTATAAAAATAATTAATTAAATAATATATTTTAATCATAGTTAATTATATTATAATGCAATTTGTTTGGATACCTTTTTTTAAAATTAATTTAATAAAATTGAAGATATTTATATAATTTTTTTAGAATTAATTTTAGCTGTAAAAATTATCATAAAGGATATTTTTTTTCAAAATTAAATTATTAATAAATTTTTATATAATATTATTAAAGCTGTTACATTTTATTTAAGAAGTAAAATATATTATTTAAATTACAGATCTAATTAATTAAATAAATTTATGTAAATAAGTAACTCAATATATCTTAGTTAAAATAAATTTAATAAAAAAGAAAGATTTAATTCTAAATACCAGCATTAATTTTACAATAACTAATGGAAGAAGATAATATAAAATTTGATTTGTAATGATATCAGGATATGAGCTATATCTGATGAAAATGTTAAGCACTGCCTTGAAATTTTAGCAAAATAAAAAATGTAGTAATATAACAAATGATGAAAAATTTCTCTCTCTGGACCAATGCAATAATCTTTTGTAATGACCTTTAAATTTAAATTAAATTAAATTAAATTAAATTATTTTTCTCTACCATTAATATTTTATTTGAATTAGTTTTATAGTAGTAAGTGTTAGTGAAGGATGGTGATTGACAGGAACTTATGCTAGCAACTTTTTAAAGATTCAAAGTTTAAATTTGCTAAGAAAAAGAAAGAAAAGAGCGAAGAGAGTTTGGTTTTATTTTTATTAAATTTTGTGCCTTTCTTATGTTTTTTCTAGGGCCTTTCTTTGTAATTTTCTCACATTCATTTTGATAAGTTTTTCCTTCTCTTTCGAACGCAGAAGAACGTAGAAGCTGTGTGAGGGAGCTTATGGAAAAAAATTAATTTGTCTCCTAACAATCGATTACATGTTTTACTGATGTTTGAGTATTTTTGCAAAAAAATTGATTATTTTACTTATCCGAACACGCACTAAATCAACATTTATAATTTTCTTTAAAATTTTTTTTATCAAGGAACTTAACTGTCATAAATTTTTTTTTGAGACTTTATTGTCATTATCCGACAATTTTTATAGTACTGTTCATGATAGACATTTTTCCACGGGGAAATGGCCATATTAAAACTCTAATCTCTTGTATATACAATGTTATCTCATGATATATGTGTTGCAATTGCATTCAAAACAAAAAGAAAAAAAAAAAAAGAAAAAGAAAAAAGAATGACACCATTAGAGTGCTTACAATATATGGTCATATACACAGACGCACCTTGCCTGCAGCGCAACTAGATTAGTGTATAGATCCAATGTTACATAGGATTCCAATATTTAATTTTTAAAAAATTATAACGAAGGTAGACAATTGCATGTAAACCCGTCCTATACACAGAAAAAATTTAATATTAATGACACGTCATTTCCAGACGTGTGTATTTGTTATAAGCCACCTAGCTCAGAGCTGTGTTTAATTATTGTTAGGCAAATGAGGCAATTTCCTTAGGCTTAAAAAAAATTTGCTTATACTCTATATAATTCTGGTCATTATTTTTACTGTTGAGTGTTACTATTAATCAAATTCTTTTCATTTAGAATTCTTTTGTCCTGTGTTTCACTGTATCTATCATTCTCATTTTTCAATAAACAATTAGCCATTTAAAGGGATAACATACAAATATTGCTACAATATAGAGAATAGACAGGGACCACTTTGTAGCATCTAAATCTAACAATTCTCATCTATCCCTCCCTTTCAGTTGAATTATGCTACTATCATTTTCTTTTTGAAAGCAAATATTACTCTGTTGCTCAAACTTGTTGCATTGTCACTCATTTGCCAAATAATTTCTACTTATTGTAATTTTTAGCTTGCTATTTGATTGAAATTAAAACAAAAAAACCCTAATCATAGATTTAAGGTGGTGGCCACTTCAGCTGTATTTGTTACACTTTTACTTTTACTATTACTTTTTATTTGAGATTATCATTTTTTTAAATTTTTTTTATAACATTCAAGATGGCAAAAATGTCAAA